ACTCTGGGTGCGGCTGAGCCAGGGCCCCATAAGGGGAGTTAGTACTTCCTGTGATTAGGAAGCTGTAACTGCTTGCCTTTGAAATTGATCTAGAAACTTTTGGAAATGGTCTAGGGCAGTGGTGGTGAACCTATGGCACGCATTCCGCAGCAGGCACACAGAGCCCTCTCTGTTGGCACGCGAGCCCAGTCGCCCAGCATCGCCTCAGGCATGATTTTGATGGTTGGAACGTGTTTAGAATGGGCCGAAATGATGAGCTGTGCAGAAAAAGCTGCTCAAGGACGGCTTTTTCAAGATCGCCCTCTTTTCAATGGAACCTTAGCCCTGCGTCAGGGTTAGGGGTGTGCACCGGGGTCGGGTTAGGGCAGTGGTGGTGAACTTATGGCACACGTGCCGCAGCGGGCACGCAGAGCCCTCTCCGTTGGCACGTGAGCCCAGTCGCCCCAGCAGCCAAGCATTGGATAATGGCGCACACAGGGGCCATGCGCATGCTCAGAAATGAGTAGCTGTGCCAGGCGATGATGTCACAAGCCGCAACTCATTAGTCGCAACTCATCTGAGCTTTCGCATGGCCGGTCAGTGTACTGCCAAGGGGGTGGGGGGGAGAGAGAGAGAGAGAGAGAGAGAGCGAGCGAGAGCGAGAGAGAGATTTGCTTGGAGTGGCTGTGAGTTGTTTTTTCTAAACTGAATCCTCAGTTTTCAGGTTTTATTGCAGTGTTAGCACTTTGCAATAAATAAGTGGGTTTTGGGTTGCAGTCTGGGCACTCGGTCTCTAAAAGGTTTGCCATCACAGGTTTGCAGCAACAAGAATGTCAAAGGAGAGAGGCTCTCCAGAGCACCTTGTGCCAGTCATCCTCCTGCTGCACTGACTGCCGGTTGAAGCCCAGGTTCAGCTCAAAGTGTTACTGCCAACATTCAAAGCCCAACAACTTGGGGCCAGTGTCTCTGAAGTGCCCCCTTCCATATGTACCTGCCCAGACCCTGAGATTATCTTTGGGGCTCCTTCTTCGGCAGCCCTTTCCAAAGTAAGTGGGGCAGGTAGCCTCCAGTGGGGAGCCTTTTCAGTTGTGGTCAGCCGGTTTTGGAATGAGCTCCCCAAAGAAGTTGACCTGGCACCTACTTTGTCGTTAGTTTTGGTGACAGATAAAGATCGTTTTATTTTCCTAGTATTTTAATAGTTTAACTTTTAAAGTTTATTTCTATATATTCAAAGGGTGTTCAAAGATAGGCTGGACGTGCACATGGTGGGCATGTCGTGAGTGGAGCCGGCTGGTGCCAGAGGTCAGACTAGATGGCCTGGGAGGCCCCTTCTGACTTGCTCTGTTTCTATGCTTCTATTCCATTTTATTTTGTATTGCTGCTATGCTTCACTGCTGAAGTATAACAATTGCTACTGTGGTTTTATTCTTTTAAATAAATGGGTTTTTTAAACCTTTGTTTAATTCAAGCTTTTGTTAACTGTCCAGAAAGCCTTGGCTATTGAGCAGTATAAAGATGATGATGAGGATGATGAGAGTGCAGCTCCAATAGCACTGGCTTTGTTCGTCGCCACATCACATTGCTTATACATATTCAGCTTGTGATCTACAACAATTCCAAGATCCTTCTTTCTTGCATTATTGTTGAGCCAAGTATTCCCCATCTTGTAATGATGCATTTGGTTTATTTTTCCTCGGCTCAGAGCTTGGCATTTGTCCCAAATGAATGTCATACTGTTGTTTTCAACCCGGTGCTCCGGCCTGTCATGATCACCTTGATTCTTGTTTCTGTCTTCCAGGATATTCGCTATCCCACCCAGGTTTGTGCCATCTGCAAAGCCGATAAATATTCCCTGCACTTCATCATCCAAACCATTAATAAAAATGTTGAAGAACACAGAACCCAGGACTGGTCACTGCGGTACCTGGCCTCTTGCCTCTCCTCAGTTTGAGAAGGTGCCACTGATGAGGGCTCCTTGTCCCCGATTCTTTAGCCAGCTGTGGATCCGCCTGATTGTTGTCCATCCAGCTCACTTTTAGCTGGATTTCATGGGGCACTTGGTCAAAGCTTAGTCGAAGTCAGGATAGTGGATGTTCATGGCATTCCCACAGTCCATGAAGGAGATCACCTGCCTGGGAGTACCGTGTTCAGTCCTGGGCACCACACTTCCAAAAGGACGGAGACAAACTGGAGGGAGTTCAGAAGAGGGCAACCAGGATGATGGGGGCTGGAATCCGCACCCTGGAAGGAGAAGTTGAAAGAACGGGGCATGTGTAACCTGGAGAAGAGACGACTGCGGGTGGGAGATACGGTAACACTCCTGCGTACTGAGTGGCTGTCACAGCGAGGAAGGGCAGGGTCTCCTCTCCAGCAGCCGAGTGAGTGCTGGACATGGCAGAGCAGGTGCGCGTTGCAGGGAGCCAGGCTCCAGCTGGAGGCCAGGGAAGCATCCTGCTTGCTGCAGTGGTACTGCAAGGACACCCACGGTCTGGGGAGGGGGTGCCCCCCCACTCGGGAGGCACTCCAGGTGCAACCGCACAGCCCTCTGAGGCAGACGCTTGGACTGGAAGTCGTCCTGCATTGAGGAGACGGTCGGACTCAGTAACCCACCCACCCGTTGGCCCCTATTATTTTGCCCTCTCTTGGTATGGAGAATGTGCGTCTCGGAAGAAGGGAACTGTTACGGGGAAGAGGGAAACGATCCTGCAGAATGGACCTCTTCCTCCGAACGCAAGCAAATGTCCTCCGGCCCCAGGGGTGTCCCTCCAAGGGGAAGGAAGCGCATAGCGGTGGGCACATGACTGTTCAAAACACCAAGGCTTGGTTTTGTGGTTGGCATTTAGATCACATGGAAAACGCTGGCCTAGAGCCGAGCTGGCTGGGTTCCCATGTCACACAAGCACGGTTTCTGCAATGGGCAAACCTTCACCTCAACCTGCCAACCGTATGGCCACAAGGTGACCAAGACAAAGGGGTTTCCGCCCTTCCTGCCCCATCCACCCGCTCTTCCTGGAAGCTTTTCCTGATGTCCAGCCTGAATCTGGGTTGTCGCAACTTGAACTGGTTATTCTGTGTCCTGCACTGGGGCATCAGCAAGAAGAGAGCTTGGCCTCCCTCTTTGTGGCAGCCTTACTTACAGAGGCATCTCATGTCCCCCCTCAGCCTTCTCTTCCCAAGGCTGAACATGCCCAGTTCTCCCAGTCTTTCCTCACAGGGCAGTGTTTCCAAGCTCTGGATTGTTTTTGTTGCCCTCCGCTGGACCCTTTCTAGTTTTTCTGCATCTTTCTTAAATCTTGGTGCCCAGAACTGGACACGGTATTCCAGGTGAGGTCTGACTAGTGAGGAGTGCAGGGGAACTGCTACTTCTCATGATTTGAAAGTAATGCTTCTGTCAATGCATCCCAAAATGGCATTTGCCCTTTTGGCGGCGCCATCACATTGTTGGCTCACGTCTAGCCTGTTGCCCACAAGGCTCCAAGGTCTTTTCCAGTCCCGTTGAGCCACATCTGGGGAAGCCAGTGGACGTGGTCCATGCTGGCAGCAGTGATGTGGGGCAACATGACCATGAGGCCTGAGCGCCAAAGCGAGATGGCTAGATAAGAGGGGGAGCCCAGGACCACCAGGACAGCTGTCCTGGCATTCCCGCCAGTTCCGGGCACAGGACCGGCCAGGTGGGGAGTGGAGAAGTCTCTGCGTATTGACAAGGTGCTGTAGGCGGGAGGGGCTCGGGAGGGTCAGGCACTGGGAAACGTTCTGTGGCAAAGCAAGAGGCGGCATCCAGTTGGACCGGAGCAGAGCCGGAGAGCCTCGAAAGGAGCCCTGCTTGCCGCAGGACAGCAGGAGCCGCGCAGCATCTGTTTTCGGTAATGCATCCCCAGGGAATGAGGCAGCTCTTTCCCATTACCCTCACGCAGGAGGTCCTGTTACAGTCCTGCCGACTTTGTGCTGCTTCCAGGATCAGAGGCAGTGTGACTGCATACGCCAGTTGCTGGGGAACACGGGCAGGAGGGTGCGTTGCACTCGGGTCCTGCTTGTCCGTTTTTCTTGGGCAGATTGCTGGCCACTGTGTGAACACAATGCTGACCCGGTGGGCCCGGCCCGGCCCGGCCCTGTGGTGCTCGGCACCTGCAGAGGCTAGAGGGGCGCAGGGAGGCGGTCCAGAGGTCACGGGCCCGGAAGAAAAGGGGGCCCTGCGGGGCTATGTGGCTGGAGAAAGGGAGAGTGAAGGGCGCGCAAGGAGGCCTGATGCGGAGGGGGTCGGGGCCGGCGCTACCTCCAGCTCTCCGCAGCTTCGCACCGCCAGGCCAGCCACGAGGCGGGCGGATTCCGGCCCGGGAAGCGGCGGGCCCCAGCGCGCGCGGCCGCCGGGCTTCTCCGGGCGCGGAGCGGCGGAGGAGGGGAGCGCCCCCGGCAGCCGTGCCTGCGGAGCATGGACGCGCCCCCCGCGGCTGACCGACTGCCCTCGGGCCCGAGCAAGCCGCGGCGCTGCCCTTGCGGCGGGCCGCGCGGCGAACCTGCGGGTCCCGCGCCGGCCTCCTGCACCGGGCGCGGCTGGCCGACGGGCGCCGCCTCTGGAGGGGCCGCCCGCGCCCGCGCCCGCCCCCCGGCGTCGCGGGGCTGCGCCAGCTGGGAGGCAGAGGCAGGCGGGGCCGCGGCGCAGCCCCTTCCTCTCGGAGAGGCAGCCCCCTTCCTGCGTCCCTCCCTCCGGGGGCGGCTCCAGGCCGGCGCTGACGCGGGAGGAGGAGGAGGAGCGGGGGCGGCTGCGTGACGCGGGCCGCCGCTGTTGCTGCTGCTGGCGGAGCCGCCGGCCGGGAGAGAAGGCGGCGCGGCGAGGCGGGGCGGACCGGACTGCGAGCGGAGCCTGGGCCGGCCATGCAGCGGCGAGAGCCCGCAGCCCGGGCAGCCGCAGCCCCGCGCCTCTGAGCCGCCCGCGCCGCCGCACGAGGAGCCGAGCGCGCGTCTCCTCCGCCCCTGCCTGCCGCCGCTGCCGCTCCGCCGCCGCCGCCCGCGCCCTGCTCGCCGCCGGCCATGAACTTCCAGGGCGGGCCCGGGCAGAGCCCCGGGCAGCAGGGGCAGAGCCTGGCGGCGCCGGGAGGCCCGTCGGGGCCGTCCCCTGGCGGCGCGCCGCAGCCGCAGTTCGGCCTCTCCAACTCGGCGGCCATCCGGGCCGAGATCGGGCGCTTCGAGTCGGTGCACCCGAACATCTACGCCATCTACGACCTCATCGAGCGCGTCGAGGACCTCGCGCTCCAGAGCCAGATCCGCGAGCACGTCATCTCCATCGAGGGTGGGTGACCCGGCGGGCGCGCGGGGGCGGGCGGGCGCGCGGCGGGCCCTCCCCGCCTGCGGCTCGGTCAA